AAAAAAAAAAAAAAAAGGTCCAGTTGACCTGGTCGTAAGATTTTTGAAATTAAAAAAAGATGATTGCTGCATTAATCTTCCAGTCATTCATAATCCTAACCGACACTGTCAGGTTCATAGTACTTCCCTCAGATATGCCCATACATACACAGCAGGAAGGGGAGAGGATAGGAGTATCACACCGCACAGGGAGAGAGAAACACAGCGGAAGACTTGACCATGCCATATGACACCTGAGTTATAGATGTGGAAACAACTTTTTGTCAAACTGTTCTAAGTTCTAACTTTTTTTTTTTTTTTTTTTTCAAGAAACTTCAGACCGGAGAGTCACTTATCGAGGTGATAAGAGCATCCCCCCGATCAGACTAGTAATTATATTTGCCAGGACTTCTGCTAGAATTTTGTATGTAGGGTAATTGGTCTGTAGTTTCTGATGCACTTCATCTTCCTTAGCCTTGTTCCAAAAAAACCTGTATTTCCTCCCCTGAGATTGGCCAATAAGTACCGATGGGTGTAGCCTAGCTTGCAATAGACTGAAAATATCACACACAAGATCTCCCCATGAGCTGTTGAAATACAGACCAAAGTTCGAGTCCAGATGCAATCAGATAAACAGAATAAAGTGCTTCTCCTGTAAAAAAGGAATAAAGTGGTTCTCCTGTCTTCCTCCCCTAAGATTGGCCAATAAATACCAACGGGCCTACTAAGCCCAGTTGGTACACCCATGAGCTGTTGAAATACAGACCGAAGTTTGAGTCCAGCGGCAATCAGATGAACATAATAAGGTGGAGAGTCTGGAGACTGAGATCCGATGCGAATGGAAGAAAGTCAAACTCCAGATCCAGCAGGACCCGGAGAAGCAGCAAGTGTTTTTTTTTTTTGAAGCAGCAAGAGCTGGTATCAAAGTTCAGGAGAGTTTGGTTGGCCTACGGAAAGATAGCTGAGATTCACGGATTACAAATCAGATGGCAAGACTTGGCATAATTCGGCTGCTGCCCAGGAGACAAGAAATTTTTCACACCGGAACGAACAGCAAGACTTTAGAGCCACATCAGATGTTCCAGGGTTATGTCAGTTCTAATCTCTGTTTTTCTGACAGATGAAAAGCAAGCTGACAGTCAATGTACACTTGATTCTTCACTTGATCAGCATTGTCATTTTACTGACAGATTCCCGCAGAGGAAAGGCAAGCTGACTGTCAATCCTCCAACTCAGTGGAGTAATCAATGCTGATCAGGGACCCTTCGGCCATACGGAAGGGGACGTGTGTGTGTGTGTGCAATGATGTAATTTTGCTATTTGGACTTGCCGCCGTTGCCGGGGGAAATTCAATAGGAACCAGACTGACGCTCCCCAGAATGGATATGGAGCCAGGACCATATGGATCTGTTCAAAAAAAAAAAAAARAAAAAAAAAAAAAAAGATGAATAGAACAAGGCAATTCTCGGCCTGCACCACCCAGCTGACCCCATCTATACAGCCCACCTAATCCTCCCTCTCCACCATTGGGGCCCAGAGTGGGCCTAGACTATCGTAGATGGTAAAAAGTTGGATGTGTGGTGTGGTCTTCATGACTGCAGCTTTGCAATGATTTATCTGCCACGATAGTAAAACCTTGCACGACGTTCCAAGAAGCCATTATTCAATGATTATTGATCAGTTACTCAACAATTTATGGTTTTTCCGCTTAGCACTGCAAGCAAGAGGTATGTGTCTTTTTGAAACGGCTGTCAGGCATCCTGTCTTTCGTCGGGACAAGTTCAATAAATAAGTGGATCACAAGCTTCTGCAGACAATGCATCAGAAAGCGCAAAGAAGACAGAACAGAATCTTGATAAGGAACCAAGCTACATCCGTGCTGGTAAAAAAAAAAAAAAAAAAAAAAAAAGCAGGTCCTTGTCTTTTTTGGAAAAGGAAAAAAAAAAAAAGGTCCTTATGGTCCTGACTCCTGACTCCTTGTCCATTCCGGGGAGCGTCAGTCTGGTTCCATTTCACCGGCAAGGATGGCAAGATTGAAAGCTGAATACAAGATATACACACTCCACGCTTCCTTCCGTCTCCGTTTTTCAAACTTTCTTCATGAAAATCAGGAAAATCTGGAAAGAAGACATATTGTGATTCTTGTGAAGAATCCCAATACAAACCAAAAACAAAAAAAAAAAGAAAAAAGGCTGATCAAGTGCACTGTATCTGTTCTGATCAGTTTAATATCTGATCTGCGGTCCTTCGGACCACACCAAAAAAAAAAAAAAAAAAAAAAAAAACCCTTAAAAAAAGGCTTTTGGCTGAAGGGCACCTTGGAATTCCTTACCGGATTCCGAATTAAAAAAACAAAAGACGTTTTATGCACGTCAATGCACCCATTCAAATTTCAAACCCATTTTGACCCCCTTTCTACCCCTTCATTCACCTTTTGGAAACAAGCTTGGATTTGGGTTCACCACCGGGCAAGCAGTGCCAAGCACAAGATAACCATTCTCATGTCAGACTTGAAGATGCCTCCCTGGGCCTTTGGTGACTTGTCTGGATATGTCAGACAGGTCATCAAGTACCTTAGGTTCTCGACAACGGCCTGACCACCCGGATGGACAGTCGGGGACATACATCCAGGTAACAGAACACACAGGCTGTATTGTATCTGAGAGTGTGTATTGTGATTAGTTCATAACTTCACATCCTATGCGGGGCTTGTTGCGTTTGACTTTTGGGGGGTATCTTCAGTTTACTTACGCGTATTCAAGTACTACACAGCTTAAGGGGTGAGGTGTGTGGAGTCTTGGAAATTGAGAAATGTTGTTCAAAGTTCAGAGAACTTCAGACCTCAAATAATTTGAGGTTGATGATCGATTGGGCACTGTAGGGTGAGTGCTAAGCTCGAGTATTTTCATCTGTTGCCGGGCTTTCCAGGGGGAGTTGCAGTACTTCATTGGTGTGCAGCTGGATGCAACAACTGCTGAACGTGAAGCTTCTGGGGTTGGGCGATTGACAGAGCGAGATGAGCAAAACGGCAAGCGGATTGTAAGTGCACTCTCTACGTTTTTGTAAATTTTGTTACAAAAAACTTGAAAAAAGCAAAAAGAGAAAGATAAAAAACATATCCTTGTGCCCATGACTCGTATCATTATGGGGAGAAGCAGTCCGGTTGCTCTTCCGCTGACACCCTTAAACATAAGTCAGAAGCCCACACATGGGTCTTCCCCTTGTGCCTGGGAGGACTGTGGCCTTTCAGTCTTTCAGATAAAATTAGAAGTTCAGGGACGACAACATCTGTATGCTCTCTCTCTCTCTCTCTCTCTCTCTCTCTCTCTCTCTCTCTCTCTCTCTCTCTCTCTCTCTCTCTCTCTCTCTCTCTCT